AATGATTGTTCCACAGCACCAGGGGACACTATGGGAGAAAGAACAAAAGTGTGGATAGAAAAGTCAGAGTAGGAGCCAGACATGGTGGCACAGACCATTAATCCCAGCACTGGGGAGGCAAGAGGTAAGCAGGCTTCCATGAGTTTGGGTTCAGCCTGGTCTACAAATTGAATTCCAGGCTAGTCAAGACTATACAGTGTGACCGAGTTAAAAAAAGAAAAGTCAGGCTAGAGTTTAGTGAGTAAAGAAGAAAAGTTGTTCTTTCATCTCATGTGCACTGTGCACACATATGAGCATGCAAGAGCAAAAGTATTCTCATTCTCTCTCTCCTTTTCTTTTCCTTTCTCTCCCCCCCTCTCTCTACAAGTTGTTCAAACAGTGTAATAAGAAAAAAGTCAGATTTGTGAGAAGTCAGGCATCTTGCCTCAGAATACATGACACTGCCCTCCCTCTGAGGTAACTGGAAAAGCTTGTGAGTAGCTGCTTGACTCAAATGTTCAGTTTTACTCCATACACAACCGGAAGCCACCTGGGCTTTTCTTCTGTTGCCATAACCGAATATTGGAGACAGGATAGTTTAATTTGACTGATGATTCTTAAGGGATGAAAGTGGAGATGGAGCTGGCACATTTGATGGAAAGTGGTAAGGTAAGCAGACTCTTGAAGGGAGCAGAGAAGATGACCCAACTCCCATCATAACCATGAATCCATTTATGAGAACTCTGACCTTGTGACTAGATACCCCTGCCTCACTGAAGAATAAAGCCCCCTGTAGGCAGAGTTTTTCTGTGTCTTGTGTGCTGCTCCCAAATAACCATTCAGAGACATCAATTGTAAGCTCGGCTGATCACTCAGGCTTGTGACTAGCTAGCTACTACATTTTAAATTAACCCATATTTTTTTTTTATCTACCTTCCGTCACCTGATGGTGCCTTCTTTCAACATGGCATGTTTATCTTGTTTCTCTCTGCATCTACTCACAACTCCTGAGACTCTGAACTTCTTCCCAGCATTCTCTGTGCCCTGAAAATCCCGCCTAGCTATTGGCCAATCAGCCTTTTATAAACAATGAAAGCAACACATTTTCACAGTGTACAGAAGGATTATTCCACAACAGCCTCCATATTAATTTTGGTGGGGACAAGCCATAGGCATATTGGATTAGGAGAAAGCATTATTGCATGTGAACAGGATGATGTGATGGACAAGGTGGAGTGAAGGAGCAGGGGCTGCCAGAATGAAGTTGTTCGGAAGGCTATTACCAGCACTCGGATTCAGAGGAGAGGTGGTACCTTAGATACATTCTGTTGCTATGATAAAATGCCCAGAAAAAAAGCAACTTGAAGGAAAGGCTTATTTGTGCTCACAGTTTGAATCAACAGTCTACCATAAAGGAAAGTCATGGCAGTAGACACTTAAAGATGCACAGCACATCCAAAATCAGAAAGCAGGGGAGATGAACGGATGATGATTAGCTCATGTTTTATTTCATCCAGTACACATCCCATGAAATGGTTCAAGCTACATTTTGGGTGAGTCTTCCCATTTAATCTAATTGAACAAATCCCTCTCGGGGTAACCCAATCTACTCAATACCTCGTAGGAAGCTGTGGTTCCTAGGTGATTCTCAACCCTTTTATGGTGATAATCAGTTTTAGTTATCACAGGGTGGAGTTTGAAATGGGACACATGGACATGGAAACATTGACAATGTAAGATTAAAGGACCTTGCTGAAGAATTAGATGCTGGTGGTAGGGATGAGAGGCAGGAAGGTAAGGTAGAGTGAGAAGAATTTTGATGTCAACTGAATAATTTGGATAGATCACAAAAGGGAGCTAACCCTAGAGGGAAACTCACTTTCAGATTCCCCGAAATGGACATATAGAAAGACACCCAAGTAGAAAGCACTGAGTCATGAGTACAGTTGCATTAGCTCAAGGAACTGTTCACAACCTTCAAGAAGGGCTTTCAGTTTCATCTGCATCCACCTCACTAACTCAGGCAGTTGAAATGCCAATGACTAAGCTGATTATGGTGTCAGATAGACTTTTCATGAGGAAGTCCAAGAGCCCTAACCCAAAGGCAAATGACAACTTTTCTCTTTTCGTCCTTCCTTTCTTGTGGCTGCTATAAGCCACCACTAAGTCCGAGTATTGGGTGAAAGCCTGGAGATTTGGATTGAACCAATAAGACTCCTGGTCCTTTTCTGAGAGAATGTCTCTCACCTTTATTGTGGAGCAGCCTTATATACAAACTAACAAAAACCCAGGTCAAAGGGTTCACAACAGGATATTGATCCCAGTGGGGTGAGGTCAGGCAAACAGGAGGTACCTGTGGTTATGCTGGAAAACAACTCTTAAAGACCCCATGGGGGCTGGGTTCCAACTCTTTCTTTCTTTCTTTCTTTCTTTCTTTCTTTCTTTCTTTCTTTCTTTCTTTCTTTCTTTCTTTCTTTCTTTCTTTCTTTCTTTTTTTCTTTCTTTCTTTCTTTCTTTCTTCCTTCCTTCCTTCCTTCCTTCCTTCCTTCCTTCCTTCCTTTCTTTTCTTTCTTTCAAGACACTGCATCATGGTCAGACTGTAGCCCAGGCTGACCTGAAACTCCTTATGTACCTCCATCTCAAAGCAATCCTCCTACCTCAGACTCTTGAGGAGAGCACCATTCTGCCTAGCTAGTTTCAAGGTTGCTTTGTAATTATGGAAAAAGAATCAGAAGCCTAAGCTTCTTTGAATGTTACATTCAACTGAAAAAAAATAATTCATGGAAATTTCAAAATATAACCCCCAAATTTAGGATTGTTTTGCATTCAGCCACTTGGTTCAACCTTTTTAAATGTTATTCCTATAAAATACATTTCAAAATAAGTAAAATTAAAAAGTTTTTTATTGCTATTACTATTATTATGTGTGTGTGTGCGTGCATGCGCGTGGATGCTTCGTATATGTGCCTGTTCACATCTGTGCACACACTTGAGAGAGAGACCGAGACAGAGATAGAGAAATATGCAGAGACAGATGTTGAGATAGAGAAATAGAAGTTAAAACCCAGAGGTTGATGTTGTGTGCCTTCCTCAGCTGCTCCCTGCCTTACCTTTTGAGATGAGGCCTCTCACTGAACCTGGAGCTCACTCTGGCTCATAAGCCGGAGTCTTGCAAAGTACATGCTTTGTACCTGAGGGCTAGAGATTTGAACTCAGGTTTCCACGCATGTTCAGCAAGCCCTTTACTGAGTGGTCTCCCCAGCCCTGATTTTGTTTTTTCTTTCCTTCCTCTCCTTCCCCTTCCTTCCTTCCTTCCTTCCTTCCTTCCTTCCTTCCTTCCTTCCTTCCTTTTTTTGTTTTTTTAGAAACAGGGTTTCCCTGTGTAGCTCTGGCTGTCCTGGGATTTTCTCTATAGACCAAACTGGCCTTGAACTCTGAGATCCACCTGCCTCTACCTCTCTACTGCTGGGATTAAAGGCTGGTGCTACCACTGTCCAGCAATATTTGTTTTCTGTTTTTGAGACTGTCTCACTGTGTGGCCCAGGCTGGCCTTGAACTTGTGATCCTCCCACCTCTGCCTCCTAGGTACAGAGATTACAGTTGTGTGCTACCAGGCAATTCTTGGTTTTTATTTTTATTAAAGTGATATGAACACACCATTTAAACAATCCTTGAATTCTAAAGTCTTCAAAGGCCATTGTCAGCCTTCGAATCCCTATTTTCTGTTTCCTTTCCCCAAAGTTTTCTGTTTTTAAGTTAATTATTTTGTTTTATTTTCATTGCTGGAAAAGAAATCCAGAACTTTGAGCACCCTAGGCAAATGCTTTAATTGAGCTCTGTCCTCAGCCTGTAAGGCTGTTTATCACTTACTGAACCCTCTATCTCCAACTCATTTGAGGACAATGTACTTTCCCTTCCCCTAGTTGAGACATTAGGTACAGACTTCCTGTCAAAAAGATAACTTAGGTTTAGTTTTTCTTTGACCTGTACCAAACTGTCCCAAGTACTTCTTCCTGCTCAGCGTCCTTGCTTAGAGTTATAGTATTTCTGGAGTTAAAAGTAAACACTGTTTTGACTTTGGAAGCTCATTGGGTGTTGAATCACACAGGGAACCATGGTGCTTTTTCTTCTCTTGAAGACTTTCAGTTTTAGCTTAGCAGGGCTTGGTGACACATATCTGTCATCCCAGCACTTGGGAGGCTGAGTCAGGAGGATCACAAGTTCAAGGGCCTGGACAAGATCTTACCAAGAAGTAGAACAGGAAAAAAGGGACCGTCTTCCTTCTTCACTTACCTATGTTTCTAGTCACATTAATGCATATTCATTATGACATGCTTAAACACTTTCTTATTTACTAGCATATATTGCCTATACATAATGGGGGACTTCATTATAACATTGTCATACACATAATGTTTTTTTTTCATCATATTCATCCCTGTTCCCCTCCCACTCCCAATCATTCTCTTTCTTGTCCTAGTTGGTCCTTTTTCTATTTTTCATGTCTCTGTTTATTTACTTATTTTTGAGACCCAATGAGTTTAATTAGGGTTGTTTACAGGAGCATGGATGGAGGAAAGAAAGAAGAAAATACATCCTCCTCAAGTAACCATTACATCTTTAGATATTATATCTTATTGGTGCGTTCATTCACATCTCTTATTACATCTTTTTTTAAAGATATATTCTTTTTTGTAATAATTTATTTTTATTTTATGTGCATTGGTGTTTTGACTGCATGCATGTCTGTGTGTGGATGCCGGATCGGCTGGAATTGCAGTTATAGACTGGGAATTGAACTCAGGTCCACTGGAAGAGCAGCCAGTGCTCTTAATCACTGAGCCATGTCTCCAGCCCCAATTTTATCTTTTTAAATTTTAAAAAATTGCATTTGTGTATGTGTGTATTAAGAGCTACAATATGTATAGAAGTCAGAGATTATCTCCTGAGAATCAGTTTTCTCCCTTTACCGTAGGCATCCTGGGTATGAAATTCAGGTCATTAGGCTTGGTGGCAAGTACCTTTACTTGTGGAGCAGTCTCGTTTCCTAAATGTTTTCTGCAATCTTCGAACAGTTCTGGATCCAGATAGGCTCCTCCTCGTGTAAGTGAGGACGTTTGCTTTAGCATCTCTTCTTCACTGCTTGTCATATTATCTTGAGCACTTGCGTTCATTGTTCTTGACTCACACCAGCCTCCTGCTCCTGTGCCCTGGGACCATGCCTCTTCTACCATATGGACTCTCCCTATGGAACAGTAAGCCAAATAAACCCTTTCTCCCAGAAGTTGTCATGGGTCATGTTATTTTGTCATTGCCACAGAAAATAACTAATATGCATGGTTTCTAGAGATTGAACTCAGGTTGCCTGGCTTGCACAAGTATCTCTACCCACTGAACAATCTCCCAAGCTTCTTGCTTTATTTGAAAGAGTCTTGCTGTATAGCCCTAGCTGGCCTGGAGCTCACCATGTAGACCAGTTGGACCTTGAATTTGCATGGATCCTTTTCCCTCTCTCTGCCTTTTGAGTGCTAGCATTATAGGCATGCACCACTCTACCTGCCTAGATTCTCCTATCTTTGTTTTGTTACTTAAAAAATTTCATCTTCATATCCATATATATTAATACTTGCTTGACCTTGTGATTTTCCTGCCTCAGCCTCTCAAGTTTTGATATTGAAGATGTAAACCATTACAGATGGCTAATAATAGTTCCAAGAATCTTTTTCAAGTCAAGATGGAACAGAGCCCCTTCTATGGACCTCCACACTGGGCATATGCTCTGGCTCTTTGGATTGTGAAGGAATGTATGCTATTTATTCTCAAAAAATTTCATGTTATTATTTTGTTTCCTTACCTTAATTACAAAGAGTTTTATTTGTAGCTATCTTCAACTTCAAATTTCAACTTGCACAAGCATTGGATGTTTCACTGAGGAACTCCTTACATATTAATGAATATTCCAACTCCTTTTACTTATACAGTTCTACCATGTATTTTGAAAAAGATAAGGAAAGGTAAATCCCTTAAGCCTTTCCTTTCTCTTACATATTGTTTATTCATATTTAACACTAAAAGAAGATGAAGTGATGGCTTGATTTTTAAAAAGTATCCTGTAGCCAGGCATGTTGGTGCTGGCCTTTGATCCCAGCACTTGGGAGGCTGAAACAAGTGGATCTCTGTGAGTTCAAGACCTGCCTGGTCCACAGAGTGAGACCCAGCTAAACAATAACAGCCAAACACAATCTCCCTCAAAACACCACACACACACACACACACACACACACACACACACAGGGCTTGGGAGATAGCTCAATTGATAAAGCACTTGCCTTGCAAAGACTTGAACCCCAGAACTGTTTTGTTATTGTTGTTGTTTTGTTTTGTTTTTTCTTTTCTTTTTCTTTCTTTGTAAAGCTGGAGGCTACAACTAGCACTTGAAACCTAGTGCGAGGGGAATGTTAGACAGATCCCTAAGTCTTCCTAGTCAGCTACCTAGTCTACTCAGTGAGTTTTTGGTCTACCTGACTAAAAAAGACAATGTGCCTGGAGAATAATACTCAACGTTGTACTCTAGCCTCCATGCTCACATATATGAACATCAACACAAATACATCTACAAAAATACATTACATATTTTCCTCATGTTTCTATTATTCTAAAAAAAAAAAAACCCTGCATCTATACTTATTCTCTGTCTGTCTTTTCTTGATACTGAGGATTCAACCTAGAGCCTTGCACATGCTAGGCAAATGTTTTACGGCTGAGCAACACCCCTGGTCTATTTATTTGCACAGAGCCTCTCACAGAGTTGTTCAGGTTGACCTCAAGCTTGCAATCCTCATGCCTCAGTTTTCCAAGTAGTTAGAATGACGGCATATTTCACCATGTCCAATTGTATTTATATGTTATTGCACAGGGTTAGCAAACTACATTTGCTTTGGGGCTTTAATATTAATACACAGTCCCCTGTATTTATGTGAATCATGCCCATATAGTAAATGTATGGAATGTACACATGCATATATTTTTATATGTTAATCTGTACATCTACTATGACATCATACCTTCTGTAAAAGTGTCTCCTTACCACAGTAACAGCAGTATAAATGTCTTCCCTTTTTATTGTTCAATGGTGACTTAGGGTAATTCTGATTTTGGGTTAATAGTAGGCCTAGAGCCATATTCCTATCACTATCCCCATATGCCCCATAGTGACTGACCAGCAGCCACTGTGGGCAGAGGGGTACTCCTGTAGTAGGTCACTGCCTATCCAGCATGCATTACAGGTAGCTTGCTGGATGCAGGTGTGTGAATGGTTACCCATACCTCCTAGAGACCAGTGTCCACAATCTCTCAAAATGAGGGTGCTGTAAAGGGCTCACAATGACTGCTCTTAGGGATATATAGCCCTTTGTAGTCACAGTCTCCTGCCAAATGTGGTTTTCTCACTTGCCAAAGAAAAAGACCAGCTTGAGAACTCTTGGACATTGTGTCAAGCCTTTTTTTCTTTTTTGACCCACAACATAGGTTTGTTCAAATTACCAGGTATCTTCTGTCATCACTGAAGCCGATGGCTCAAATTTGCCATATTGTTGAAGCTGGCCTTGAACTTCTGATCCTCCTGCTTCTGCCTCCAAGGAGGTGGGATGGTGAGTGTCAGCAATGGTCAGTGTGTGGTGCTGTGGATCAAACCTGGGGCTTCCCGAACGCCCAGCAACCATTCTATCAACTGAGCTACATTCCCAATCCCTCCATTATCTTTTCTGAAAAAAAAAAAAACAGAATTATTTCACTTTTATTAATGTGTCTCTGTGCATTTGTGGGAGGGCACTTGTGAAAGCCAGGAGGTTGTATCCCTTAGAGGTTGTGAGTCATCTGATATGGGTTCTGGGAACCAAACCCAGACCCTCAGCAAGAGCAGCAAGCAATTTTAACCACTGAGTTATCTTTCTAGACTCTTCTCCTTATTTTAAAAGGAGGAACTCTAAATTTCTATCAACTCTACCACTGCTACCATCTGGGTAGGAAGTGTCTGTGTGAAGGGTCCACGTGTTGGAGGCTCAGTCCTTAATTGGTAAATCCAGTCAATTACTGAAGGACAGTTGCATTCTGAGGTCTTTGACCTAGAAGAGGGATTAAGTCACTTGGTAGGTGCATGATTCATTGGAGGTGGGGCCTCCTTGGATGCAGTAGGTTACCGGAGTCATGTCTTTGGGGACTGGATCTTGTTCTGGGCCCCTCTGTTTAGGTTTCTGTTTTGTGACAGCCACAGAGTGTGCAGACTCTGGAACATGCTCTGCTGCCATTATGTTCTGCCTTGTCTCAGGTCCAAAGCAATGGATCCAGCTACTCTCAGCCTGAATCCCCTGAAACTGAGAGCTAACACAAATCTCTCCTGTTTAAGTTGTTTAGTCAGTCATTTTGTCACAGTGATAGCAATCTACATAGCACACTTGATCTGATGTCATGAGTCTTGCATATATTTGCTTCCGTGTCTTATCTCACCTACTGAATTCTACATTCTAAAGAACCTTTAGAATTCTTGCCTTAAAAGGGCAAGATCTATGTTGGATTTCTGTGTATCATCCACCCTGGCAGACCCCATACTGATGCTCAATAAAGGAAGGAATGGAGGTAAATGAGAAAGCCATATCAATTTCCAGTTGGTGTTTAGAGTCTATCTGGCTTATATGAAGGGAATCCTCAAAAGTGAAGCTGCTAAATAAGAGACTTAACAAGGAAAACTCTTCCAGGACTTCCTCCTGTCCCAGCCCTCAGTACTTCAAGACCCCAGAGGTTTTCAACTGGTAATTAACACAAGGCAAGTGAGTTATTTTTACTGGCTCATAAATTAACCCTTAAGTATTAAGGAAGCAATAAGCCAGCACTCAGTCATCAGCCATGCTTTCCTCTTTGTTTATACTAGCCGAGGACTTTGGCTGCTATTTTTGTTCCTTCCCCTCCAAGCGTGATCATGAAAACAGTCACAGGAACTCATCAGAATGAAATGTGTAGTAAGAAACAATGCACACATAATACAAAGTTATGTATTCCTAGATATGTTTTGGCTAACCCGGTAAGATTGCAACAAGTTCTGTAAACAATGTATGGTTGCTTGGAAAAATAGAAAGAAAAACAAAAAAGGTTTGACAGATGGTGCTGTTGGTAAAGCCCCTGTCTAGTACTGAAGCCTGAAGACATGAGTTGGATCCCTGTATCCCACATAAAGGTGTAAGGAGGTAACTGTACAAAGTTGTTCTCTGACTTCTGTAGTGCCGTGTCCCCAATCCATGCACCAAGTGCATGAACACACACACACACACACACACACACACACACACACACACACACACAAACACACACAGTAAAAAAATGTAAATGTCAGAACCAGCACTATTTGTGTATATTAATGAAAATATAAGTGCACCTGGAGTTATTTTCACAGCATTTAAACAAGGCTAAGACAATTGCATAAAATAAATATATCCTTGAATTTAGAACCCCAGGCTCAACAACGTCAGTAAACTGAGATGGGATGAATTGGCAAGCAGGTCCAGATTTACCTAAAAAGAAAGAAAAGAAGAAAGAAAGAAAAGACACCTTAACAGAGTGTGCCTAGGGGGGCGTGACACACATTTTTGCACAATTTGAATAAGGGGCACGGTGCGTGCGCCCAAATGCCTATTCCAGCTTCTGGCTCTTAGCACGCACGACTGGTTCCGGATTCCCGCACCGCGCACCTCACCGGGCCAGCTACTGCGGGCTGGGAGGGCGCTTAGGGCTAACGCTGATTGACCGGGCGCGCGGTCAGGTGACCCGAGGCGCCACGTTCTGAGAGCCCGGCCGGCGGTGGCTTCCTAGGCAGGGGCAGGGCCGATCCGGGAGCCGAGAGGGACTGATCTCTCCCGGAACAAAGTTGCTAGGGCCGGGGTGCCGAGGGCGCACGAGCGCCAAGGCGGCGGGAGCGGGAGGCGGCTCCGACCTGCGGGATTCACGGCTCCTGGGCTGGGCTAACCCTGCCGGAGACGCGAGCCCCCTTCCCGGGGTGGCGGGCTGACCAAGCAGCGCCCCACCCTCGCTCTCCAACAAAGGGGCCGGCGGCGGCGGGGGAGGACCGGGAGGAGGAGTCGGATCCGCGAGCTGCTCTCGCGCACAAAGTTGTGGAGTCGCCCTTCCCCGGAGGAGGGGAGCCGGCAGCGCCGGGCGCGGGATTTCTCCCGCCCAGGGCCAAGGAGGAGCCGCGGGTTCCCTCAGCCGATCAGGCGACCTCGGCGAGTGGTGCCCCTTTTCTTTCGAGTCATTCCTGCAAACGGAAAACTCCAGCGCGCGCCTGCCCCTGGCTAGCGTTTGGACTGTTTTGTTTTTGGCGGAACTACAGGGCAGGAAGATTGCACAAGTCAGGGGGCGTTTCCAATCGGGTGTCAAGCTCTTTTCTTTCTTTTTTTTTCTTCTTCTTCTTCCCCCCCTCCCCCTTTTTCGGATCTTGTCTGACTTTCCACGTTTCATTAAAAAAAAAAAAAAGAAAAGAAAAAGCAAAACCAAAATCCTCGCATCGCCCAACGTAGGCTCCCGCACACCAGGCTTCCTGAGACCCGAACACGCCCAGAGAAGCCCTTGGGCCTCAGGGACTTGGCGAGCAGGTAAGCCCATGCATTATTGAAGCTCCGGGCTGTGTAATGTGACCGCAGTCCCCGAGGGAACCGGGCGGGGGCTGAGAGGAGGTGGGACCTTTCTGCGGTTCCTCCACCCGGTCCAGAAATAGCAGGCTGGCCAACTTCTGCACTTTCCCTGGGAGCTCAGCGCCCCCATCCTGGGCGGGAGGGAGCTGGGATGAGAAGGTGGGAATCTACTTGTCGCCAAGGTCTCAAATTTCTCGGGCTGGTTCAGTGCTGTCCGTCTTGTCCCTTCCTGAGGAGAGAGGGTGTCTTCAGTTCGTTCATCGTCCTGAGCGGGCGAGCAGGGCTAGTAGTCTACAAGAGGGTACGTGGCCTCTTCAAGAGAGCCTGTCACACACCTCAGATTCCGGGAAGGCGGGGCCCGGGCGGTGTCTCGGAGGAGAGGGTGGGGAGGGCGGTTGTGCGGTCAGTGGCTTGGGGAGCGGTTCCCTGCCGGCCTCCAGGCTGGGGGCGTGCTCGACCTCTGTGTGGTTGCTATTCCCGAGGGTGGGGCCCCAGTGTGGCGAGATCGCCAGCTCCCTGCAAGCAGCTCTGGAGAGGCTGACGGGGATAGGGGGATACCTCATTGGTGCACAGTCCCGGTCGCCTGCTTTTCCGGACTCTTGGCATCCCTTAACTGCAACTGACAAGGTAATTCATGCCCCCTTTTGGCCTGGGTCTGAGGCTCTCTGCTTGCCCAAGGCCACTTACAAAACCAACAAAGAACTAATTGTGAGCTGTGCAACTTTTAGAAGGCACATTGTTCAGAGACTTTTCAAGTCCCTAGATTCCGACCGTGTGGCGTTCCAGGGTTATTTTCAAGGGGAGGAGAAAACGTGTGTGACCCCTGAGAGCCAGGGACCTGGCCTTTTTGAACCCTCAAATTAGAGCTCCTGGGTGTAATTCCGGGCTGCACTTTCTGGAGTGTCCCCGAGGGAGCATCCTTTATCCTCCTAGCCTCCAGATCACCTGGGTCACCACTATCTAGAGAGGTGGGCTCTCCAAGAGTTGCTTGGGAGGGTGCGCCTTGGCCAGAGTGCACGAATTCCAGACGAGAAGGCATCTCCTGGATGGCGAGGCAGCAGCAGCATCCATTCGGTTTGAACTTGTCCTGGGCCTCTGAAGTCAGGCTGGACTCTCGGTGGCTGGCTGCTGGTGGGCGCCGGGGACGCAGCCTACGGGTAGCATTGGGGCCTTCGTGAGCTGGAGGAATTCGAAGCTCGTGGGTCGTTCAGCCTGAGGATATCAGGCGGTGAGGGCGAGGGCCATTCGCGCTGAAGCCACCCCCCCCCCCCGTCCCTTTCACCAGCATTTATGAGACCTTCGAGATAGCGCTTTAACTCTCCTTTGGGTGTTTATCCAAAATTTATTGCGCCTGTAAACAGCATTAATCACAGTGGTATTAACCTTCCCTGGAGCGCTTCCTAGTGTGAATGGCAGTTCTTGGCACTCAGCGGTTTCCTTTACAAGTGGAATGGCAAACTTGTTCCTCCGCTTCCCTCACCACTCTCTCCAGCATTCCTAGCTTTTCGTTACTAGTGAGTGAATAGTTTTTGCAAGATTTAACAGCTTTCCGTCACAGCTGCACATGGTTGAATATTCTTTTATAATGACACTTTTTGAATGTTGTATGTTCTTGAACTTTTGCCTCTAAAGCCGCCATTTCTGGCGTTCTGGTCTGTGTAACAAACAGAGAAGCATCAACCCTGAAGGAGAAACTGGTGCATGTAGGTGGGTGGGTGGGTTTCAGTGCGAGAACCTTTCTCTAAACTTCACCACTGTCATTTAGAGGGAGGAGACCTGGCAGCAATTGTGTAGGGTTCCTTGCACAACCTCGAGGTCATTCACCTCTAGTTTCTCCCTTATATGTGTGGAGTGTGGCTTCTTCCATTCCATAGGTGTGCAAGCCGAGCCTCTTTGGGGCCCATTGCTGTTAAGGAAGCTTCGTTTCTGTTCCCACAGCTAATTATCGTAGCATTTTATTTATGTATTTTGAGACAGCTCTCATTATGTGGCCCAGACTGGCCTTGAGCTTGCTTCAGCCTCCAAAGTAGCTTGAGCCATGGGTGTTGTATCACCACGGCTGGCTTGCACTTGGTAGTTTGGAAGGAAGTATTCTTAAACTTTCTTACTGAAATTGGAACTCCTGGGACATTAATGGCAACAAGAGTTAGTGGCTGTTAAATGTTTAAATGATCTTCTGTTAGTGTCTTTCCTCGTCATTCTTTTTGTTGTTTTTGTTTTTTTTGTTTGTTTGTTTTTCTGAGACAGGGTTTCGCTGTAGGTTTTGGAGACTGTCCTGGAACTCTCTTTGAAGACCAGACTGGCCTCGAACTCTCGGATATCCCCTGCCTCTGCCTCCCGAGTGCTGGGATTAAAGGCGTGGGCTACCACCGCCCAGCTGTCTTCATTCTTTTCTAGTTCCTTGATCACTTTTTCTGCTATGATTTTGAAGTGTAGTAGGCATTTGCATTATCAAGAAGAGGACTTAGGAAAATTTATCCCAAGGAGAATGGCAGAATGAAACATTATAACGAAAAAGTGTTATTAGTCATATGGAAATGAAAGGAAGCTCTGTGTAGGTTACCTTTTTTCTTTAAAAGAAATTTAAAGATGGCTCAGTGGTTAAGAGACAGTCCAGGTTCACTTTCTTATGCCCTTTTCTGGCCTCCTTGGACACTACATACACTCATAAGGCAAGCATTTACACATACATTTTTAAAAATGCATTTAAAATATTTATTGATTGTATGTGTGAAGAGGGAGCAAGTCCCATTGCACACATGCAGAGGTGATCAGGCTTAGTGGCAGGTGCCTTTTTAGTAGAGTGGAAAACTTTTTGAGAAGCCTTAATGTGGAGGTCCCTGGATAAAACTAGTTCTAAAGGAGAGCACTGGACTTGTCTCTTGAAGGAACTTCATTCCAGGAAAGAGAATTTTCCTTAGACAACTGGGATTTTCCATAATAACATGTTTATATATTCTCTGAACAAGATTCTGGGTCTCTAAAAATATTAAGATACACATAAAAGTTTAGCAACTCTTTCACAGTTTTGTAGTTGTAGATAGGAATATAAAATTTTATGATGATATTCTTTGGGTGAAGTTTGTTTTTGTTTGTTTGTTTTTCCATCTCATGTATCCCAGGCTTGCCTCAAACTCTCTGTATAGCAGGGAGTGTATATGAATTCCTGATTCTCCTGCTGGGGTTACTGGTCCACTCCAGGTAAAAAACTGTTTGGCAAATGGCCAGGCTGCCATCCTTTTTCCCTGGTCTCTTTTGAGGTCAATGTTGTTGTTTGTTTTTGTAGTTCTGGGGATCAAACCCAGAGCCGTGTGCATAATAGGTAAGTCCTATATCACTGAATCACGTCCTCAGCCCTTTTAGTTTCTTTTAAATTTTTGGACAGGTAGCTGTGAGTCACCATACCCAGATCTATAAACTCTTTTTTTTTTTTTTTGGTTTGATATTTTGAAACAGGGTTTCTCTGTGTAGCCCTGTATGTCTTGGAACTCGCTTTGTAGACCAGACTGGCTTCTAACTCAGGTATCCACTTGCCTTTGCCTCCCCAGTGCTGAGATTAAAGGCATGTGCCACTACACCCGGGCTCTGTAAATTCTTAATAATTGTACAATCATATAAACATTTAAAAAGTTTTTTTATTGTCCCATAAAGTCTGGGAGACTGATGAATCAATGTATACATTGAGCGGAAGTGGTTCGTAAAGCTTCAACAACTTGCCAATGTTCCTTTGCTTTAACTCTCATTTTGCTATCGTTAATGGACTCTAGTCGCTTCCTGACTTGTAGAAAGAGAAGTTATTATGCTACATAATGTTTATATTTATATAATAAAGTAGTACTGAAGGCTATAGTGCTTGCTTGTTAAATAATAGAACACAATATACTATTATAGAAATATGAAATTTAAAATAACAGTATTGTACAACTCCTTCTTAGATGAAACAATTGAAGCGGCTCATTGGTTCAGAGCACTTGTTCCTAGCACCCACATTGGGTGGCTCACAATCACCTGTAACTCCATTTCTAGGGAATGGAACACTCTGTCTTCCTTGGGCATCTGGCACATCCACATGCACAGACATACATGTAGGCACTCACACGTACACAAAGTGAAAAACCACTAATGAATTGAGTTGTCCATTTCTATGTAGAAATAAACCCTAGTTCTGACATTTGGTTTTCATCTGTTCGTGTTTAGGTCCTACTTGGCAGCTCAGGCAGACCTAGAACTCACACTGATCCTCTTACCTTGGGGATTGGAGACATGAACCTCCTTGCCTGTCTCTGATACTCATTTCAATGTGTGAATTTGTATTCTTTTTCTGCAAATTACTGTGTGGATGTCTTGAGTGTCATATTCCTAGCTAATGACTAATGTAATTGGTATTGGGGCACTCGTAAAGGGTCCAGGAAAGAGATGGATGCTGAACTTAAAACTGAGCTTGGCTCCTTTCTGGGCAGTGTAATCCAGGAAGCTCAGGAGCATCATGGAACAGTACTTGCTGGCGTTCTTGATGAATGGGTGTTACTGCAGGGCAGATCTTCAGTTCTTTAGATCCGAAAGATGTTTCTCACAGTTACTGAAGACTAGGTTGTTTTATCTGAGTGTTACCTATGTGCAGCAGAGTCAGGGTGATAAACCTTCTAGAATCAAGTCTGTATCATTGGTCAACACAGCTATCTACATATCTACAGTACATACCACCCCTGAAACTTGTTCCATATTTCCAAATGCTTTTTGTCCTTTTTCATCATATGTCTCAGAAGAAACTTACACTCAACCAATCCAAATGACATTATTTCTTCCTCTTTATCCAGTGCTCTCAGTGTTTCCCAACCCAGTAGATAGTCCATTCACTTCTGGATTGCCCAGTGCCAACTGAGTCACTCAGCATCTTAGTGTTACGTATTTCTAATGCCCAGGCTGTTCCCAAGTCTTATTGATGTCTTTATTTAATATCCTGTGTATCCATTCATTTTCCCCCCATCTAATCTCTTGAGGCCACAATCACATAGTACCTGTAATATTAGTAATGTTATAACAGAAAGATTAGCATAATAGATACCCAGCTGCTCTTACTTTCTTTATAATATTTGCTTCCTCTGCCTGTGTGTATCTTTGTATATACACACACATGCATATCAAGGTACATAATATAAATGCATAGACATTGAAGATACTCTCATACTTTACTGCTAAATATTTAATCGTGTGTCTTCTACAATGGAAGATATTCTCCTACCTAACAACACTAATTAGTCCTGGAGTTTAACATTGATATAATAAGAATGTCTAAAGTAAACTCTATAACGTTTTCTTTGCAATTCAGTCCAGGATTGTATTTGGTGGTTAGGTCTCTTTAGTATTGTTTAATCCATGGAGTTCCCCTTTCTGGAGGTAGTTTGGTTTGAGTGATATTGACCTCCCCCCCATGTTAG